AGGCATATTCAGTGGGTTTTAAATTCATGGTGTTATTATTTAGATAATGTGTTCTATGCTAAATTTTACATATTCACTTGGTTTTAATTTAGCGCATTTTCCAGTCAGCGAAATAAGCCAAATTAAAACCCATTGAATAATTAACTTCTTTACAGTATATGTATATTATAACCTGAAATTTTACACTGGAATTGGATGTTCTGCAATGTAGCTATGTATTATGTGAAATTCATAGTTATAATCACTATCAGCCAAGCAAGTTATACAAAGTAAGGATCATGCCAACAAAATAAAACTACTGAGAAATCTACCTCAATTGATGCTCACTTTGGCTTGATGAGTAGAGTATTAAATTTTCACTTTTCTGCTTTTTACATGTGATTCTGTATACTACCTTACAGGCCGATAAAAAAATACAGGTTAAATTTTTCTCTCTTCTTTGCCAGAAACTGATTCATTAAGGCAATAACAATATTAAAGTTATTGTGCTATTAAAGACATATAAAAATAACTAGATAGTTGATGCTTAAAATTACACCAAACCCGCAAAACTAATTATTCATATTTTTCAGGTCCAAGAGCACTCGTTTCCGATGGAGCCAACCAGTTGGCTTTGAACCAGCACATACATGGGCCATTCGCTATGTTTACATTGGAGATGAATGCATGGACTTGTGTTCAGGTCATGGTAGATGTGATGTCGGTATATGCGTATGTGATGACGCCTGGGCTGGGGATACATGTAACATTCCGTTAAAGCCATTACCAAAACAACTGAGGGATAAATTTGAAAAGCCTCCTGATAAAGCTTGGATAACTGTGAATGGTGGGTTGATTTCCGACATCTGTGAACCGCTACCGTCTGGTAAAGCTTTACATTTCTATGGGGTAAGTGACGTTATACTGCAAAATACCCACAATGCAACATCATATCGACCATTTCTATTTTTCAATTTTATCCATTGTTCATTATGATTACTGTAAATCACTTAATTTTTACTATTTGGTAACTTTATGGCATTCATGAAGACAAAATTGTGTTGTAGAATCCCTGAGAAATTTTTGCTGATTCATGAACATTTTTCTCTACTGAAATTTAAGCTGTTTACAATAATAATAGAGGTGAAAGAAGCAGTCTTTTTTGTGCATTTATAATAGGAGTTATCATGTGATGATTGTCAAGCCATCATAAAAGAATATTCTTTGCACACATATTAATTGTTTTTATTTTATCATAGAAAGCTTAGTAGTACTATGTTTGTTTTTTAGGCATGTACTCGACAGCTGATTACAACTGATCTAGATCTCTCTGAAGTGAAACTCTTACAGTTTTATTTCAAATATGGATGTATGAGTGTACCTAGCAACCGTAACCAAGGTGTCTTTGTTGAATACTCTGTGAATGGTGGTATCTCGTGGCAACCACTGACTGAACTGTTCTATGATCAGTTTACTCAGCCAAGGTGTGACTAATGATTTGTTACATTGTTTCACACTATATATATTAGGCCAGAC